CAGTGGTCAATCCAAAGGTTTAAAATATAGCTTCCCGGGGCACCTGGGTAGCTCAGTCAGTTAAGCATTAGACTCTTGGTTTCGGTTCAGGTCATGATCTCGTGGTTTCGGGGATCGAGCCCCATGTTGGGCTCTGCACTGACAGTATGGAACCTACCTGGGATTCTCTCTCTGTGCCTCTCTGTCTGCCCCGTCCCTGATTGTATTCTCTCTTGCTCAAAATAAATAAATAAGGTTGCAAAATAAATAAATACACAGGTTGCCATCACTTTTGATTTGCATTTCTTGACTTACGAGTGGACAAAGAATTTTGCACTTATTTAAACTTATATAGCTCCGCTCAAACTCTGTTTAGACTTTGCCGTGGTTATTGTTGTAGGCGCATTTTAAGTATGGCAGACCGTGGTCTGCCATATATTTTAATGATGACCTTATGTGTTGCTTTATTTTGCCAGGGCCACCATAACAAACCACCATGGACTGGGCGGCTGTAATAACAGTTCTTTGTAGCACCTTTCAGGAGGCTGGAAGTCTGAGGTCAAGGTGTTGTGGCCTTGGTTCCTTCTTTTTTTAAATTATTTTTAAGTTTATTTATTTATTTTGAGAGAGAGAGAGAGAGAGAGAGAGAGAGCAAGTGGGGGAGAGACAGAGAGAGAGAGGGAGGGAGAGAATCCCAAGCAGTCTCCTCACTGCCAGCATAGAGCCCAATGTGGGGCTCGAACTCCTGAAACCGTGAGATCATGACCTGAGCTGAAACCAAGAGTTGGATGCCTAACTGGCTGAGCTACCCAGGCGTGCCAGACTTGGGTCCTTCTGAGGCCCAAGAAAACAGGATCCATTCTAGGTCTTTCTCCTGGATTTGTAGATGGTGGTCTTTTTCCTGTGTATTTGACATTCTCCTTGTGTATTTACGTCTGTATCAAAATTTCCCTTCTTTGGAAGGACACCAGGCATACTGGATTAGAGACCACACTAATGTCCTCATCTTAACTCAATTGTGTCTTCAAATAAGACCACATTCTGAGGCGGGGGTGGGGGGTGGGGATTAGGGCTTCAACACACACATTTTGGGAGGAACGCAATTCAATCCATACGAGGAGAGACCGTCTATTTCCATCATCGGCAAAAAGGACAGCCAGAGCATACAAGGTTGTTCACGCTGCATGTGAGATCTTGTCTCACCAACTATAAGCAGGTGATCATAAGGCACTTAACCGAAGTGGGTGAGTTTCAACATTTCACCACCTCCTAAGAGGGGGGTTTCAGCTCCAATGTGATGCCCATTCTTACACATGACAGCTCCAGGGAAGAAGGTCATCAAAATATCCATGACACTGAAGATTGTATCGTGTGCCATTTTGAGGGGGATGTGTAAAACCTGAAAAAGCAAAGCAAACTCAGAGAGATGTCTTTTGCAATCAGTTCCTAGCTGTTCCCGAGTCTTAGAAATGATGACATCCTCTCAATAACCTGCAAAGGGTTTTAACATTCTGGAGTCCTGCTCAGAAGAACAGACAGAAGAGCATGCACCATTAAAATTAAGTGGAGAAATGGAAGGAGAATTACGAGCTGCCCAAGAGATAGGAGATATTTCAGGCCAAAGCTTAGAGACCTATTTGGGGAAGAGATATTAACATCGAGGGGACACCTTGACCCAGGACCCAGCACTCCGTGCCTGACTTAGAAACTGGGAAAAGAGAGAAAAGCTCAGGGTAGGTAGCTGGATTTGGTACACCAAGCCTTGTCACCTTGGCCACAGCAGCAATTTGGAACGGGCTTTCTGGAATCTTTTCAACATATGCCTTGACTTTTTATACAACTCACAGCGCTGGCATTGGTGACAAGTTTTATTAACTCGCTGCTCAAAATTCCCTTCCTATAAATGTTCTCCAACTCATATCCATGGTAAATGGACAACTTCTCTTTCAGAATTTGCAGGAGGGCAGTCTTGAAAAAAAATATCAATTTACTGAGATATGATCAGCATATAAAAGGTATGCATGTTTCATGTGTACGACATCATGAGTTTGGCAATGAGGGTACAGCCGCGGAACTGTGACCACAAGCCACGCCATAAATGTATCCACAACGCCAAAAGTTCCCTCTCACCTCGTTTGCGTATGATTACTCTTTCCGCGTGTGTGATATCCTACAGAAGATCTATCCTCTTAGCATATTTAAAAATATCCTATAGACTAGGGGTGCCTGGGTGACTCAGTGCGTTGAGTGACTCTTGATCTCAGCTCAGGTCATGATCTCACATTTCGTGGGATTGAGCCCTGTGTTGGGTTCTACACTGAGAGAGTGGAACTTGCTTGGGCTTCTCTCTCTCCCTCTCTCTCTCTGCCCTTCCCCTCCTCGTGCTCTTTCTCTAACTCTCTCTCTCTCTAAAAATAAATAAACTATATATTCTCCACCATTCTACCTGTTCTTCCTGTGAGGCTCTTTTAGATGCCACATGAAAGGAAGATCATGCAGTATTTGTCTTTCTGTGTCTGGCTTATGTCACTGAGCATAATGTCCTCCAAGTTCATCCATGCTGTCATAAATGGCAGGATTTCTTTCTTTGTAAGGTGGATTAATATCCCAGCGTATGGATAAACACCACATCTTCTTTATCCACTCATCTGTCTGTGGACTTTCGGGGTGTTCCCAACTGTTGGCTATTGTGACTAATGCTGCAATGAACTCGGGGGTGCAGGTGTCTCTTTGGGATCCTGACTGCATTTCCTTTGGATATATACCCAGATGTGGGAGTGAGCAAGGCAGTCTTAAACTCACTCTGCATTGGCTGAGCCCCTTGATGCAGACATCGGCAGGGGCTGAGCTGCTTCCTCTCCACCCCTGTGAGCCCCAAAGTTTGCATACCCAGAGAAAGAAGAAAGTTTGTCTGACGTCCCTAGTCTCAGCCCTACTGAGCTATGTTGCTTTGGTCTCTGGAATCAGGGGAGGGAAGCATTCACCATAAAGATACTGCGGAGTTTCCCAGTGTCCTTTCCGTTCCTGCTTATTACCTGCACTGGGAGACCCTGTGCACATCTCCATCCGTGGCGGTGCAGTTCATGTCCCTGCAACCGCTAGCAAACACTGCGCGTGGCAGTTGTGGTTGTGTGTTTCCCGCAACGTCCTAAAAGGCACGGTGACCATGGAACAACTCTGTTGATTAGCTCACGCCTCCTGGCTCCGGGAGAAATCAGGCTCTTCTCAAAAGAAAGCAGGCTTTGTGGGGGGAAAGATACCCTAAAGACAAAGTGAAATGTGCAACTGTGGTGATATTTATAGATTCTCTACCTTATCTTGGGAAGACTGAATGAAAGACAGGTGCAGAGCAGTATCGGTTTGGTGTGGATGCAGGAAAAGAGAGACGCTGTCAGTGCAGAATTGGTGAGGAGAAAGGCTTTGGGCAACTGTTGGCACCCTGAATCAGCCCCCTCCTTTTTGCGATGACTCCCACGCCTAAAAGGAGGGGATGAAAACCATATGACTTTTGCCATGCACTGTCTGACATGAGATGCTGCAGAAAGGACAGTCTTCTGCAAGGCTTTTCTGGGAGGTCCATAGAAGCACACCCCACCGCTCAGAACATTCAGTGTGTTCCTAGGTAGCTAGACACACATTATTAATGGAAGTCTCTCCTCCGGTATTTTTCACAGCATGGAAATGATTCTAAAAATAACCTGCAGAATTATGTAACTCCCTCTGCCATTATATTCTTGCCATTTTTTTTTTGTTTTTTTTTTTTTTTTAAGAACTTCTAGATGGATCGGCCATGAGCTGTTTCGGCTAGAAGCAATATAAAAGATATATATCTCAATGGACCCTTCTCCTTCATTAAGTTCTAGACTGTGGATGCTCCTGGGAGTTATAATTTAATCTCTGCAATCTTCACAGTGCAATTTAAGCAGTGGGTTGAGTTGTAAAATGAGTGTTTCAACATCGAGCGCTCCAACAGTGAGATGTAAATGTTTTTACTGGTTTTTCTACAGCCCAGATTCTCCAAGAAAGTAAAAAAAAAAAAAAAAAAAAAAAAACAAAAAACAGAGAGAGAGAGGCAGTGAGCTCATAGTTTTGGAGGTGTGGTAGATGGGAGCTAGGTTCACAGAATACATCAGATTGCTGCAGGAAAGCCCTCCAACTAAGGATCTGGAGAATTCTGCAAGGAGCCGCATTCTTCAAGCCCACTCTCTGAGAGCCTTCAGTGTTGATTCTGGAACTCGGGGATTCGGTACAGCTTGGAAGTCAAGATTAACGTCCACCTGCTCTCTCCATTGTTCATTTTGTTTCAAAAAGCCTTCCTTTTTTTCCACTTTTATGAAAGGAAAGTACACAGAGGCATCTTATTACAACAATGAAATCTCAAATTGCCATTCAAACGGATTTAAAAGCACCTTGTACTGTGGACTTAAGTCATTAATGGAATCAGAATGTGCTGGTAAAACAATGGCTGGAAGACCCCAGAGGTGCACTGAGAGCTGCAAAGAAGAAGATTCACCTTTTCTATTTTTCAGTCGTGGAGAATGTGAACAAATTGTGAATTTCCTTTACACTCTACATAAAATACTCTGGTGAATATACGATTTCAGTTAGTAGAGAGGTGATTTATGACTTCTGTGTTTGCTCAGTGTTATTGTCATTGGAATTAAATAACTCAATGAAATCTATTTAGTTTGATAAGAATGAAAAATAGATGGGAATAAAGATACATTCAAGTGTTTGACATTTGTCTTTTCTAATGGTTTAGAGTTATAGGTCCCTACATATATCTTGCCAAGGGTTCTTTTTAGACTCCCACTTATATTTAATTTTTATTTTTGATGTAAATTCATTGTGGGCCGAACTCTGCCTTCCTTCTTCTATAGAAAAAAAAATGAATGTTTCTCATTTTCCTTCTTGAGCAAACCATGGTATTAGTTGAATTAAAACCATGGTATCAGTTGAATTTACATATCATTCTTTAAGGGGTACCTAGGTGGCTCAGTTGGTTAAGCATCTGACTCTTGATTTTGGCTCAGGTCATGATCTCATGGTTCATGAGTTTGAGCCCTACATCAGGCTCTGTGCTGACAGTGCGGAGCCTGCTTGGGATTCTCTATCTCCGTCTCTCACTGGGAAATATGCTAACCATCTGCTTTCAGATCTTCCTATAGGTGTAGGAAGATAGGGTCTTACCTATTAAAACAGTGTTCATCTTATAAGTGTGAATGATGCTTCAATTAAGGTAACATCCTGGCTCACTCTGGTCTGACCATCATCTCTTATGCTGCAGAATTCTGTTGCTGATCCAGCTACAGAAAATCAAAGCAAAACATTAACTCTTGGAACCATACAGATCTCTTTGAAGAATTATAGTTATTTTTCTATTTTATATGCTTGGCATAAATGATGTTTTCAATGTATATTTATTGGATGGATGATTACATGAATGAATGTAACCTATGTGCAAAATGCTGTGCCTTATAATTTGGAAGGCCACTAGGGATAGAGAAGGAGACAGAGAGATCTTCATCTTCTGGAACCTCCCTCAGCTCAGGGAGCTTCTGGTTTGTTGCCTTTCTCCATGAGTAATAAAAATAATAAGAATAAAATCCATAACATGCATGGAATAGAAGGTACTAGACTCATTTTGTTTTCAGGAGAACCATAGTTGAGGATTGGCTGTGGAAGAAAAGAAGGAAGTCAAACCACATGGCCTGAGGTGCTTTCAGGGATGTCTTTCCATTGCATAGTTGGCTTAATCCTGTTCCTGTGAGGTATTATTATCTGCATCATTCAAATAAGGAGATGGAGACCAAGGAAGCTACAATGGGATGAGAGCTTCAAGGTTCATAAGTGGCATAAATGGGGTTCTGACCCTCGTATTTGAGGTCCAGAGTGCCAACCTGTTCGGCAAACATGAATCAGTTCATGCTAGAACTGTGTTTGTCTTTAGAGATTGCCACAGCTTCAGAAAACATTCAGCAACAACACCAAGTCCTTTCCAGAATGCAAAGCTATTACTTTCCAGGCCACAACTTCTCCCTTCTTCCCTCATCACAGTTACTCTTCATCATGCAACCAGTCATGCCCTTTCAGCTATCATTACTAGTATCCCTCGTGTGCAGGGCCACCCACCAAACTAAGAAGGTAGCAGCGAGCAAATGGCACTCCCTGCCCTGACAGAGACGGTACCTTACCTCAGACTTAAACTAACACACACGTGTGGTCTCACAGTTTCTGTGGGTGAGGAGTTCAGGCACAGTGGAGTCCTCTGCTCAGAATCCATCAGGGCTTCCATAGACGTATCGTCCGTGCTGAGTTGTCATCCGGAGGACTGACTGGGGAAGAATCCACAGTTAAGCTCAGATGGGTTGTGATGTCTCATTTCCTTGAGGGCCCTGTTGGGTTTACGTTTGCACCTGCATGTGTCCTTCTGAAGGAAAAGAACGAATACGTATGAAATGTTGGACTAGCATCCTTGACAATTTTGTCTAAAAGAAATATTTAAGGTTCATTTTTTGTTTCATGGACCTAATGTTCTCTTTGGAGCATAGAGGTGGTTATTTGGTTTTCAATTTTCCAATGTTGTATTAATTTTTAGGAACATTCTGTGTAAGAGATGAATGGCTTCCTTAGTTAGTTATAAGTACACTCAAAACTATGCTGGGGTACCTGGGTGGCTCAGTCTGTTAAGCATCCAACTTTGGCTCAGGTCATGATCTTGCAGTCTGTGAGTTTGAGCCCCACATTGGGCTCTGTGCTGACAGCGTGGAGCCTGGAGCTTGCTTCGGATTCTGTGTCTCCCTCTCTCTTTGCCCCTCCCCTGCTCACACTCTGTGTCTGTCTCTCAAAAATCAATAAACATTAAAAAAAATTTAAAGACTACTATGCATACTGTACTCATCTACAAGTATATTCCCGGGATTTAAGAGAATATACTTTTTGATGTCCATGCCCTACCAAAACACACACACACACACACACACACACACACACACAGAGTCCTGATAAAGAGTGGCACCTAGGGGCTCCTGACTGGTTCCATCAGTAGACCTTGCAACTCTTCACCTCCGGGTTGTGAGTTTGAGCCCCATGTTGGGTGTAGAGATTACTTAAAAATAAAATCTCTTTTTTAAAAAAGAATGACACTTAAAGTTTTTGTGTGTGTTTAAAAAAACAGTATTTTCTTCCTTAAATTTATTTATTTGAGTAATCTCTACACCCAGCTTGGAGCTTGAACTCACAACTCCAAGATCAAGAGAGACACACTCTTCTGACTGAGCCAGTCAGGCACCCCAAAAGCTCTTTTTGTTAAGTAAGCTCTAAGCCCAACATGGACCTTGAACTCACAACTCCAAGATCAAGAGTGTCCTGCTCTACTGGCCCAGCCAGCCAGGCACCCCCCAGCATTTTCTTCTTATTTACCTCCTGTTTCTATTTATTTTCTTCACAGGAGACCGAATGATCTGAACTCTCTCTAATTCTTTGTCACAACAATGGTTGCTACCTTTATACACTGTCACTGTGAAGTATTATCAAGACATTAAAGAAAAAACACCTCCTTTTTAGGATATGGATCGTAGAAAGTTAACAGTGTTTTTCTTTCTAATGCTGGTCACATTATGAAACTCAATTTTGCTTAGATCCATTCCATCTCTGAATTGTCTTCCAGTTAAAGTAGGTTCAAGCCGGTCTGCACCTCCTTAAGATTATTCCTGTTAAATGCTGTAGCCATTTGCTTTTCTATAAAAGTTCCCTAAAATACCTTCTCTTTTACTGATATTGCCATCCTCAGACCCTTCGGTAAAGAAAACCCTTCGATTGAAGGAGAAAATCGGCCTGCTCCAGTACGGCAGACTTCCCAATGATTATTTCTCTAGCTCAGGATTCAGAAGCCATATTGTATCTTTCCAAGGCCAGTAGATTTCCTGCCATGGGGTTGAGTTCCCAAACCCCCAAAGGCTTTGCTATATTCAGGATCTCCATGAAAGCACTGTCTTCATGGGATATACACATTCGTACCAAGTTTAGCAACTACCACAGGATCTCATGTTATATGATGGCTCATCTCATTTGATTTAAAACAGGTGCCATCATAAGCTTATAGTGACATAGAAATGGTACACTTGATCCTGCCATTGTTGGCTCTGAGGTTTCCACATTACAATACATATGTCAAGAAACTACAGAAATCCTTCACGGTGTCAGCAAGTCAGAAGCCATTCGTTTACGGAAGCGTGCGGGTGTGATGTGCATATTGCGATAGATGCGCCAATGCAATTGTCAGAGATAGGCAGCGCCTGCCCTACCATGGAACATTCCTCCTTCAGAACCCAGCTTCGGATTTTCTGACTCGGAATTTTGTAAAAGTGTAATTGTTGTAAAACCGAGAAAATTGCCCGGCTGTAAAATCCTTCAAATTTATCCGTGTATTATCTTTGCAGTTTTTCTTTAAAGAATAATAAAAAGAAAACCATCCAAGGGGATGGTAATTGCATAAAATGGCAGATAGCAAAGTAGATAAAATTTTAATCAAATCTTTTGGTGCTTAGATAGGAAAGGAAAATGTAAATCATTAAAAGGTTTATCTTTAAAAATTAGATGTAAACTGCTCTCTTCAGAGACCATCCATATTTATTTTTTATGTTTTATAAAATAGAACCATGTTTTAATCAGTCATACAAACATGGACGAAAACGATTTTCTCGTGGGGCCATTCAAATTCATTTGGCCTGTTTATTTTGCATTGCAGACACCTGAAACCCACGTTCCTGGCACTGAGATGAAACGTGGACTTGTTTAGAGGAAATTTTCTGGACATAATGGAAAATTTTATGGAGTTTGAGTGAATTCCTGTGAGGCAGGCCTTATAGTATTGAGTATAACAAGATTGTGCTCTATTTTCCTTAACGACCAACATGAAAATACAGAAGGTTTTACAACGCAGGCAAAATGCCCTTTCCAAGGTAAATATACCTAAGACACCAAAGCCCCAAATATGTATTACTATGCCAGTGTCTGTGTGTGTCATAAAGGAGCTAGGAGCTCGTCCGCCCCACTTTCTCTTCCCGGGAGCACGTGTACCCACACGTACCAGAAACCCACATGGTTGTGTTCATCTCCTTGCTACTCAAAGCCTCCTCCATGGGCTGCAACATCAGCCTTGTCCAGAAGCTTGCTAAAAATGCAGAAGGTCCACCCCATCCTAAACTTGCTCAATCGGACACTTCAGAGTGATAAGCACCCCCCCACCCCTCCCCATGTGTCACCTGCACGTTGCAGTATAGGAAGTTCTTGTAGAGAAAAGTCGCCTGGAGCCACTTGACCAGGGACATGTTTGCATAAAGGAGAAGGAACATTAATTGCACTCACTAACACTCAGTGAAGGTAGTATTGTCATACGATTTACCGATCCTATACCTGTAATTATCTTACTATTTATTATACAGGTTTGTGCACCTGATTGCACACATGTACGCACACAAAGTCCTGTCTGCTTTCCCTCGGGGTACACACATTTCAGCTCATGTGGTGTTTTCTCTGGATGTGTTACCATCGTCACCCACCATTTCCAAAACTACAGAGGAGAAACAGCTAAATATTCTGAAAACTCCACAACATGAAAGTTGTGACTCTGAGATTTAGAAATGACAGAGTATCTGTAGGGAGGAAGGGAAGTCGGTCTCCCTCAAGGTCAGGTCAGGGTTCATCATTGGATTCTCAAGTCAACACAAATCAGCTCACCGAGCCCATTTAACCTTTCCGAAATTTTTATTTTAGGGAGCAGGGAGGAGGCAGCGTGCTCTAGCTCAACAGTCTTCAACATTTTTTATCTGGGGGATCACTCTGCCTTTTGAAAAATGATCCAGGACCTCAAAGAACATTTTTAGTCTGGGTTCTATCTATCGTCATCTGGCAAAAGTGGAAATGAAAATGGAGAAACATTTGAAGTATTTACTTATTACTATATTAAATTTATATTTAATGTAATAAGTCCTTTGCATGCTAGTATAAATAACATCTTTGATTAAAAATGACTGTATTTAAAAAAATAGTGATTAGGGTCCCATTGTTATGTATCTGAGCAAATCTGCTCAGTGAGCTTCATAAAAGGCAGCTGGATTCTCAGATTGGGTTCTGCATTCAGTCTGTTTTAATATCACCTGTCATGTAGTTTCTGGAAAATGTTACTGCAAATCAGTGAGGGAATGAGAGAGGAGGAAAGGCAACAGTGTCTGAGAATTGTCATGAGCGGGGTTTTGGCCCAAGGACCTTTGGAAAGGGTCCTGAGACACTCAGGGTTTCCTGAGCCGCAGTATGGAAACATGTGCTTGAATTTGTGGAAAGCTGCCTCCCACGGGCAGAATAACAGAAGTCAGGACCACCTTCATCATATTCAGGGATCAGTACAAACTAAAAACGTGGGGCCCCTTGATCTCAACTTATGGTGAATTTCAAGATGGTTGAGAGCAGAGCGTAAAACCAAGTTGGTGATGGGGGTGGGTCTTCTAAGAGTGAGTTGCCTGCAAAAGACGTGGTAAAAAGTGAAATAAATAGTATTTCTGGCTGTAATGTTGGGAATGAATGGAGCTGTGTTTGGGTGATCTTTGGGACACCACTGGCTTCTCATGTGTCCAGTAGTGGGGGCAGGGCTGTTACTTGTGCTTAGGGCTGGATGTGAGACGCTAGAGTGTTTCCTCTTGGTTTCTGCTTTTGGTTTCCCCCACCCACCTTCCCCAGGCAGAGTGGGTGTCTTCACGCTCTTTCATTTCCCCAGAAGTGCATGGATGTTCCTTGTTCATCGATGCTAGCCTGATGTCAAGGATGGGGAGGGTGTGGGGGAAAGGGGTGCAGTGATCTGTCCTCCTCATCTAATGTCAGATTTAGCTTGCTCTTGTATTCCCAGGGTTTAGAGATGGGACCTTCTCAGCATCCCTGGCCTCCCTTCTCTGTCAGTGAAACTTGGGTTGGCATCTATGGTTGGTCTTGGGTGGGAGGGAGTTTATGCCCTTTCCCTGGAGGTAGCAGAGTTCTGCTTGTCACCAGTATAGGATCTGGGGGCCAACAGAATTTTCTGCCCCTCCCTTAGGATTAGAGGATTTGTCTGCTACGCTTGACCCAGCTGCAAAGCTTCTGTGCCTGGGCCCTGGGAGTGATGTCACTTGCCATACCTTTGATCAGACATTGAAGATTTTGTTCCCTATGAGAAGAGAATTCAGGGAAGGTGGTGGGTCTTTGTGCTTTTCCCCTGGCAGGTATTGGTCAACCCCCATCACACCTGTACCACTGAGGTGGAGTCTGTCTCATGTCCCACTCTGCTTCCAGCCTCTCTCTTGAG